CGGCGAAGCCGTCGGCGAAGCCGCCGGCGAACGCGACCGCCAAGGGCAAGAAGCGCAAGCCCGCGCGCGACCAGGTCACCGTCGACTTCGACGTCGCCGACTTCGCCACCGTCATGGCGAAGAAGAAGCGTAAGGGTTAGCTAGAGCCGCCAGTCGCCGCGCTCCACCGCCGCGCGCGCGGCCGCGTCGAAGGGCGCGTAGGTGCCGTTGCCCGCGTCGCGTACGTAGAGCGCGCCCTCCGCGGCGCCGTCGAGGGCGTCGGCCGCGAGCTTGCGCGTGACGTACTTGTGCGTCGCCGTCGTGGGCAGCGCGTCCCGTCGGCGGAGGAAGCCCGGCAGCGCCGCGGGCGGCAGGCCCGCCGTTTCGAGCGCGGAGAAGAGCCGCGCGGGCCAGTCGCGCGGCGCGTCGGCCCGTAGCACGACCGCGGCGCAGCCGCAGCGGCCGAGGTGCAGGCACTTGCCCGGCACCTTGACGCCGTAGACGGCGCACTCCGCGACGACGTCCGGCGCGGCCTTGAGCACCGCGGCCGCGACCTCGCACGTCGAGCAGGTCTCGCCCTTCCAGCGGAACCTGTGTGGAAACCAAATCTTCAACCCGACTTCAATGTGCGCGTATGCGACGGTTTCGACGCAAGCTCTTCGGCTGTGCTTCGAGAGCTCGACAAGAGCAATCGATTCGTCCAAAAATCAGCCGAATCGACTTCGATTTGACGGCGCTAGAGAATTCTCAAGTTTGGTCAGGACCACCCAAACCAGTGGTTGGTTTCCACACAGAGCGGAACGTCTCGCCCGCGCGGTCCGCGAAGTAGAGGAAGCCCAGGCGGTCGAAGGACACGAGGTCGCCGGAGCGGAAGTAGACGTCGCCGCGCCGCTTGACGTGCTCCGCGAGCTTGCGGGACGTCGCGGCCGCGTCCGCGTAGCCGTCGAAGCGCCGGCTCGGGTCGCGCGCGTCGACGCGCCCGAGCAGCTCGCCGACCTCGCCGGGCTCGCAGAACTCGCAGAGACCGTCGGCGTCGCGCCGCAGCACGGGCGCCGCCGCCGCCTCCTCGTCGCCGACCTCCGCGAGCCGCGCGACGAAGACGGGGTAGACGGGCATGAGCGCGCGCGGCATGATGCCGACCGCGCCGACGCGGCCCAGGTTGTTGAAGAGGTTCACGTTGCCCTCCGTCGACCCGTAGAACTCGATGACGCGCTCGATGTGGAGCACGCGCTCGAAGTCGCGCCAGGTGCCGTCGCGCGGCATGCCGTTGCCGAACGCGAAGCGCAGCGCCACCGCGTCGGACCGCGGCGACGCCTCGCCCGCGGCGTCGACGACGAACCGCGCGAGCTCGCCGACGTAGAGGCAGCCCGCGGCGCCGCAGCGCGCGCAGTCCGACGCGAAGAGGCGCGCCGAGAACTTGCGCCGCACGACGAGCGCCGCGCGCGCGCGCACGCAGCCCCAGAGGCCGAGCAGCCCCGCGGTAGCGTGGAACAGCGGCAGCGGGCTGTACAAGCGGTCGCCCGGCGCGAGGCGGCAGAGCGACGCGCAGACCGTGCCGCCGGACCAGGCGCGGCCGTGCGTGATCCGCGCCGCCTTCGGGAGGCCCGTCGTGCCCGACGTGTAGATGTAGGCCAGCACGTCGTCCCAGCCGGGCTCGCCCGGTCCCGCCGCCGCTTCTTTCGCGGTCCACCGGCGCCAGAGGCGCCGCGCCCAGGGCTCCGGCGGCGGCGCGTCGTCGCCTTCGTCGAGGAGCGGCGCGTCGTCGAGGCGGTCCAGGCCCTCGCC